GCGGTTGAGCGATTCGAAGAAATGATCAAGCTCTTGTTGACTTTCTCCACAATTCGTTTTAAAATAGGCTTCTAAAAGCGCTGAAAATATTTAAAATTGTATTATTGGGAAACGTCTTTTGGCTTCTTTCGTTCGTAAGTACGGGGAACATACAAAGTCACTGGAGTAAGAACTATGCCTCCTCAAGCGGTTTTTTGAAATCGCCAGTTTCTTAAACACTTTTTCTAGCGCAGTTAACTCACTTGAACAGGAATGGTCGCAGTCGACAGCTGTTTAAATAAAGTCACTTCGACGTGAGATTAATAGTGTAAGAGAGCAATGTTTCAGGTCAGGTTGGCCCCACAGACATAGGCTTCGCTCCAGCGGCTGTACGTAAATTAAAACCACATTGAATAAATTAGCGGATCATTCCTTCAAGCGATTTATGTGTTCTTGACACTTGTACAAAAGAGCGGGCAAATATAGCGCGGAGAAACATGTGAAGAATCAAGATTTTGTTTATATAATTTTAATTTTGGGATGATCGATAGCACATGCAAGCATAAACTTGTTCAAACCACTAATTGTCCGTGGTGTCTTCTTCACGTTCAGTCGCGTCTCCTAAGAATTTGACGGACAAAACTCGAAGCCATAATTTTTATTTAAATTGCTTAGCATGAGTTTATATCAATATTTCTTGTTATTAACTGAGAGCTCAGAAAGCGGGCACAGATTAGCTTAATAGCTATCAAAACAATTCGACCTTCGCAAATCAAAACACGCCCTTTTCGTCAGCCATTTTTTCTCGGTGTGGTGCGGCTCATTGTCTATAGGTTAAAACCTTTTCTTGTCAACATCAATGAAGTTAAAATAACGATTAGTGCGGTGGAGCATCTGCCAAATACTGAGAGAAAAACAACCACGAAAAGCATAAAATTTTAGACTTGTTTTGCAATTTAAGTACATTAAAACTCTCATTTCAATTACTTCTGGCTCGATTAATATGGAAATTACTGTTACTTAAAGAATTGACTGAAAGTGGGAAAACATCTATAGACGAACAACTGTAATTCAAGGCAGCTTATTTTTGGGAATATTGCAGTTATTGCAGACCATATATACTGACAAAGACGAAATAATTGGTTAACAAAAGGTGACTCGTGCGATAAGATGATTTCTGGTGATTTATATGGAAATTACTTTACCTAGAAATAATTTAAAATATCTAGACGAACAGTTATTTAAAGAGAATGCTGCAGTTATTGCATGCAGACCATGTATATTGGCATAGACGAAATAGATGAGATCACTTCAAAACAGCTACCTAAATTGGCAGAGATCTTATCGAGCTAGTATTCTCATGCCGATTAATATATATCAGACTGCTCAACACTCCGTATTTTAGCCCCCGTCTTCACTAATGCGTTTTCGTGGATGTTTTTTCGAATATCGGCCGTGGCGGTGATACGATCGAAACCCCTCATTGTTTTTGCCGAAATTGCATACACTCGACTGAAACACTGTCCACCTGAGTGAAGATATTTGAAAACAAAACCCGTACTCGTATGTGATATGTGTGGATGATACGCGAAAACATATGTATTAATCAAAAAACGGATTACAAGGGACTGGCGTGAAGAGTTTCAAAAGTTGCCACATTATGCCGGCAAAATTTCGAGTATAATGGCATAGGTGCGACATCAAGGATAAGGCTGAGATAAGAGCACTAATTTTCCATCATTGCGGTGCCATTTTTGGATAAAACAATTGTTTTCTTTTTCTTGTAACTATTTTAGCTACTAGCGTTTATTTCTTTAGTAAAAAAATGATAAATTACAGGCCATTTTAAAGTTCTACGCAGTTTTCGTTACTATGAGCACATTCGACTTTTTCCCAGTACATTCTCAGGCACTTCTAGCCCTGTAAGCCTGGTAAATTTCTTTAGACCTCATCGTTCCAGGCTTCTAAGCCCTACGTTTTTGTGCTTTATCCTTCTTGGTGGGGAAGGGCATTTTGGTGGCATCAGTTACGTGCATGAGGTACGTGTTGAGGTGCGTACGTGCGTACGTGTTGTTACGTGTTGAGGTACAACCGAGCATGATTAGGAGCCTGATATATATAGACCGGCCGGTTTGGTTGGCAGTGCTAAAAGAGCATGATACTCGATTTTAAAAGCATAATGTTTCTGGTCCCAGAAAGGATTGAAACGGTCATGACAAGTAGTGGAGAGGAACTCTGGAGAAAGGAAGTGGTTGATGACTTTATGGGTGCGTTCCCTTTTGGGGTGATCTGGATCAAGATCAGTGATCCAAGATCTGTCTGGATCAAGGTGCATCAAAGGAACCGATGAATCCACACTGGTCATGGATTCATCAGTTCCTGCGATGCACCATGATCCAGACAGATCTTGGATCACTGATCCTGATCCAGATCACCCCAAAGGAACGCACCCTATATCATTAATCACGATCTTTCCCCTGTTTTATTGCAGAAATCTAGCGTTATATTAACGACGACGAAGACATGAACGTACTTTGGGCGATCATTTGGTTCCTGGTTCTCTGGTTTCTGGCCTGGCCGGTGGGATTTTTCTGTGCTGGTTGGTACGTGTGTCTGTCGCCGATTGAAGCCTGTCTTGATGCCATCAAGGCTGTCACTGAACTCCTAATGAAGGGTGTCATGCTCCCATTGGAGGTCGCGAAGCATATGGTGGAAGGCAAAGCTGGATGGTAAAAGAAACTTTACGAGCTCAAAAAAAGTGTGACGAGAGTTTTTAATGGAGATCAGTTTCACGTTTGATCAAGGAACTGAAAGCGTCTTCAATAATCTTATATAATTAACTGTCGTATTTCTATACTCTAGCTTAGTGGGATCACCATAGAAAAAGTAGTATACTAATGGAAACAGAAAATTTAAAAGGTAGAGTAATGGTGCAGTCCCTGGTTTTGAATTTCTAATTTCGCTGACGTATTTCTGAGCAAAAAGTGCAATTTTGCGATGGGGACTCACTCTCTGTTTTCCAGTTGTCCATAATTCACTCTCTTTGCCCCTCAAATTTTGCATAAACTATTGCTGTGAAATATGGGAATATGCAGACCTACCAAGAGCATTTCACAACAATAGTTTATGCAAAGTTTTGGGGGGCAAACAGAGTGAATTATGGGCAATTGGAAAATAGAGAATGAAGCATGTACACGCAAGAGACCATGTAACGCCATTTCGCATTTTTTACCATTTACCATTTTACCAATTTACGCACCAAACTCAATGTTTCAGATTAATTTGTTTTTTTTTTTTATTATTTTAGAGCTACATATTTGGAACTGACGTTCCATCAGTGCCCACTTTGATCTTTTCTTTGTATCCCAGAATTCCGCGTAGGCCATTCATTGGCGTATAGAATCCCCAATTAGTTTTTTTAAGCCAAATACCATTGACAAGCTATTGACATTTAAATTAAGTCTTTCATTTCATTCATTTCATTTCGTACCGTTCGGTTGAATCATTTGATTGCTTATTCTACATTATTTTACTTTTAATTCCGTT